TTGATTGAATCACAACGGTTTAAAAAGGAAAGAAAGCAAGACCTAGAGAAAATAAAAGTAAGTTAAGGATCACATTCAGATATAGATATAAATAGGTTTACAAGTAACTAAATATTTAATTATTTCTACAAATCATAGGAAAAGGCTTCATTTTAATTATTTTCATCATGCTTTACAAAGCTTGTACTGTATTAACTCTGATTGTTCTACCTGATTAAAGAGAGCGTAGTGCATACTCTGCAAACTGGCTAGAATTGATATTCACCCCCCAGACTGCACATGAATCATTCAGCGTTCGAGCCGGGCTATGAATTGGGAACAGAGAGTCTGTGGGAAACAGGGGGGGATAATAAATTATATAGTTTTAAATATTGTGCAGTTTATTTTAAATATCTTATCCTTTTCGGGGTGGGTAGCCTCTGTACGTTCATGTGACGCTTGTCCCTCAGGACGCAGTCTGTCGAAACATTTTATGCTAGTACAGCTGTTATGACGTCGACACACTCACCTTCTTAAACGACTTCGTTACCGGTTGGCACAAAGGATTCTGTCATCGAAATGAAGTACAAAAAAGCTAAGAGACTATTTCCTACTCCTCCTCCTCTCCTAACCCCTTTTGCCTCATGCATATCTGGATGCCTCTGGTAGCCGCAAGTATTTTGGTGGGGCGCGTTAAACGGCGCGAACACGCTACGTTAACGTGCTGCCGTTCAGGCGTATGTTTACAGGAGAGAGAATACCTCGTTGGGAGGTTCAGGCGAAAGCTAAAAACTTTATATGAACAACTGCTTGCAACTTGTTTAAAATGTTAAACCAGCCAGTTACTGTGGGCATAGGGCCCTGGTTCAGTCGTTTTAATGTCCTATGGGTGGGCTAAAGGCTCTTGATTCCTAGATACACACCGACAGTTTTCTGAATATATTTTTATCTCATACTCCTAGAAGAAACTTTTCCAAAATAGACAAGTAGATTTCCGCCTGGGTGCAAGCAGAGAAAACGGCCAATAACAATTGCCAAT